GGTTTTCAAAGCTGAGCTAGAAATTTAAAGCTATTTTTGATAGTTACGATGTAGTCTCTTAAATAATAACATTATTTTTCTCCAGGACACAAATCTCTTCCCTAGAAAATTACTCCTTCCCTTCTGAATCGTGGTCACACAACATCCCTGCACAGTCTTTGAGCTGAAGGGGTGGTTTTTCGCTTTCTGCTTTCAGATTTCTTTCATGCTCTTTGACTGGCTTATGCAGAGCCCACTAAACCTGATAAATAAGAATAAACCTGACAAATAAGAATAACATTATAAACTAGAATATTGGAATAATGCTGTAACTAAGGCATTCTTTCACTTAAGACTCAAAGACCGGCACTAGTTTGAGATTTAAGAGGCAAATTCTTGCTGTTTGCATGACATTTACTTTGTGTGTTGAGGATCTTAGAGCTGCAAAGAGTTTGTAAGTTTGCTACAGGGGCAGAGCCATCCTGCCCTCATTTTCTACAGAATGACATACCACCGAATATTTTATCTCTATACCTGCCACCTTCTGTCTTCACACGCTCAGCTGGTGAAAATCACATGTTCCAGACCTGGCAAAACCTTGTGTGTTCCTCCTCTCTGCCTTTTTTAGCCCCATTTTCTACAGACAGCAGAGGAATTGCTCCTATTTCACTTGGAATAGGGCCCAGCAAGGAGGCAGAAATGCAGCAGAGAGTAAACAAGTGTGAAGTGAATCAGAGGGGAGGGGAAAAAAAATCTACCTGTTCACACATGCTAGTAAGCCCTGAGTTGGTCATAATTGTTCAGAAACACAATAATATTATAGGGCAAGAATAAATATTATCATGGGAGTAATAAACAAACAGTAATGCCAGGGTTGTGGGGTCAGTCCCTGGATTCAGTCACTGAAGATTCAGACCTGAAGGTCCTTGTGGGTCCCTTCCAACTCAGGTTATTCTGTGACTCTGTGAGACCCCAAGGTCTGTACGAATCATCTCAGAGGGGGTGGGAGAATATGAGGCCACAGGTCTGGGTCTCAAGGAAGACAAACTGCACTTCAAGTGACTCAGACTGGCTGCTTCAGGCTGCATTTCTCTTGCCCTGCACCTTTCGTGGCTCTCAGTAGCAATTCCATACTCATGAACGGCCAGAAATCCAGTTGCCAAGTAAACTCAGACCCTGAGCCCCAAGACACTCTGATAAACATCTCATTTGTAGCCACATTTCATAAAAAGTTGCTTCTTTGGGCGGTTCATAAAAACAAAGTTTATATGATTTGATCAAAGCAAAATTTAGGGCTCGAAGCTACAGCCACCTTGCAAAGTTCTTCCTGCTTTTTCTAACCTAATTTACTTATCTAAAACAGCTGGCTAACTGCAAACATTCAAACAACCCCAAATTTAAGTAGGTGGTTACTCAAATAAAGAAAAAGTGTAGCTGAAAAAAGCCCCTTGTCCCTCTAAGCACAAGGATTAAGAGCCCAGGTCCTGTTTTGAAACCCTCAAGCTGGACCCAGCAGCATCTTGGGAGCTCTGATAAAGAAATATTTCTAACTGCTCCTGTCAAATGAAAGGGAAATATCAACCTGACAGTGCTGCTCTAACCAGGTTCATCTCACTGGCCCCTTGGGTTTGCTCCTCCCCACATCCCTGCACCTCTCATGGTTTGT